AAAAAAAAAAAAAAAAAAACATGAGATGTAAAACTCCCGGTGCAAAAAGTTTGTCATTCAACCAGATTAAAAAATGCTCGTACACGCACAAAATATTCGCATCCTCCGGAAATTAATCACAAAGATACCGGACCAAATGCATCAACACGGCACAAACACTTGCAGAAGCTCTAAAGTATGATTTATTAGTTATTACACAAAGCATAGATGACCAGAAAACAGCAATTCGGAATAACAAATAAAAAAAATAAAATGTAAGCAGTAGTAATAGATTACCTCGATATCCTGTTTGTTCCTAACACTAACTGAACTTTATCCGATTCTGTAAGTTTCTCGCAAGAACACAATCCAACTTCACATCCTTGTGTAGGATCACGAGTGTAATTCTCACTGTGAACAAAATAAGGCATATCCATGCCCACATTCTCCTTCACCCGAGCATTCTGAGGTCTCGGGAGGTCACAATTCTCCAAAACTTCAGTCGACCTTTGGGCCACCAACAAAGCCAGCTCCTCAGTATCAACTGATCGCCACCACGGAACACTTTTCTCCGATTCGAAACAGAAAACTTCGGCACTTTCCGAAAAGTCACAGCTACAAACACTCGGCTCGTCTACTTCCACCGAACATTCTCTAAGCAATTCAAGATTTTGACTTTCAACAGAAGGAGCAAACTTCGACTCGACCTGTCGGTACCCATAACTTGGCTGGGTCTGCAGCCACCATCTCGAGCTCGGGGATGAATTGGAACACGACGGGTTTCGGTTAAACGGGACGGAGAAAGTGGTGGGAATATCTCGGCCGTTGTCTGCATTTACGGGTTCATTTTCCGAGTGCTTGAACGAAGGATTTACCGAGGGGCAACAAGCGAATTTGGGGGCTCGTTTAGCATCTTCTTGGACTAAACATCGGTTGGCAGTTCTCTGCCAAGCCGCCCTAGCTTCGGCCAAAGCCATTACTCATCCATTATTTCCCTGTGAAACGAAAAGCATGTGAAAAAAGACAGTTTTTTCATTTTGAAAATCACCATAAGTACAAAATCCACTCAAGACCAACATGGGTTGGCTCAAGTGTTAAGCAGTTTGATATCGCTTAAGCAAAGTCTCGGGTTCGAGTCCTTGTGAATGCAAAAAACCCTTGTTGGGAGACTCACCCACCACTACCACTACCAGGTGTGCCACTCGGGTCTACCAACGGATTAGTCGGAGCCAGGGGCGGAGCCACCCCAAAGGCTGGGGTGGGCTCCAGCCCAATCTGGTTCCAAAATTTTTTTTTTTTTAAAAAAAAAAAAAAAATAGCCCATTTTTTACTTAATAGCCCAGGTCAAATAAATGTTAGTGCCTCTGGCTACGTCCTGGTCGGAGCATAACTCCGGATACCGTGACTGGTTACCAAAAAAAAAAATCCACCCAAACTCCAGAATATGCTATAATTGTTCAAAGATAGGTAAACTTTCAGCAATTCTTTCACAGTATCAAGAAAAAAAAAGTTCATAACCCAAAAAAACCCATCAAAAGAACACGCATCAGCTAACATTCATCGGAATCGCAGTACAAATTAAAGGAAAATAAAGAGAAAGAGACAACTGAAATTGCCCCATAAAAACCATATGCACACCAATTGATTACAGAAAACACATCAATATAACAAATCCCTGCAACAAATTCGAGCCCTTTGAAGCTAAAAATAGAAAATAAAAGTAAAATCTTGATTCTTGAACCTGGTAAATTTTTCCAAAAAAGTGGAATAGAGAGAGGGAGAGAGAGATGCACAAATGGGTTTGGATCAAAGTGAAATCTTGTGTGCTGATCTCTTTAAAGGCGCCGAAATTCCTTGTATTTTTTGGTGCAAGGATTTTTCTTGGACTGTTATATAATAATTTCATTGCTACAGGTTAATTTTTGGTCTTCGTTCAATAATTGAATATTCCTTTCTTTCACTATTCACTACAATAAATGTATTATTCATTTTCTTGAAAAGTTACGGTCAAAAATAGTATTGATCATGTTATAATATAGAAAAATACTATATTCTCGTTACAGAATCAGTTTGTTGGGATTTGTAACTGTTAGATAATTATGTAACAGTTCGTTGGAATTTGTAACCGTTAGATAATTATATAACAGTCGTGGTTGGTCTAGCGATTATAAACCCCGACGAAATGATTCCGTAATTAAATCGTAGAATCTTGCGTATTATTTTAACAAATGAGCTGATGAAATGCAATTGTTATTAATCAACCATATCATTATTACATTTGATTTTGTTAAATGTAAAATACTATTAAACTTTTTATAAAGTATGATATTTTAATATGAACACATATATAAATATATACATATATATATATTTATATGTATAATAACGTAATTTTTTGCATGCCCTGCCTAATCGGTGGATCATACACTTGTAACTAAAATATATATTGATATTAGTTATTATATTTTTCGTAATGTTGATTTTTTTTTCTAATTATGATATTTTAATTTGAAGTTATACATGTTTTTTTCAATTCATAATTTTTTTTAACAAGGACACAATTCTTCAGTACAATTGATGGAGGCCAGAGGCCCAAAACGACTAGACTAAGACTCGGCGTGGGTGAGACACCCCGCTAGTGTCATGATCAAGCCAAGTTCCTAGACTGGGGGTGACGAAATCTGCGGCAAGCCTAACGGGTAGGAAGAAGCCAGTCCCGCCATGTGATCCACCGCAGAATTGGCCTCCCTATGCACATATTGGATTCGAACGCTCCACTCCCTTTGAACCAAGCTCTGAATAGCCCGGACTATTGCATCATAGACCCCAAAGTTTTGTCCGGGTCCAATGATCAGTTTTGTCACACATTGGCTATCGACCACTACTATAACCTGCCGAAATCCTAACTCCCAGGACACCTGTAATCCCTAAATAGTGTTGAACCCAATATTAATAAGGAAGCACTCGATCCATCTACCGAGCTCGTTCCGAAGCAATCCTCCAGCCCCGCTCAGACCCGTAGTGTTATCAAAAGCCCCATCTGAATTCACTTTGATCCAACCCGAGTGTATCATATGTGCAACATGCATCTCAGCGCCTATTCGCCTGTAGGCTTCACACACCCAAGCATATGTCTCTGTCTTACGGAGTACCTCCAATCTCCGAGTTTCACAGTTAAATAAGAAATTATTGAAAACACGATCATTCCTCCATCTCCACGAGCTCCACGCGCGCGGTGAATGAGAACAGCATGCTCCATTCATCAGATTTAATAATACATACGAGTACCTACTAGCTACTAGCCTACTACCTACCAATTATTTTTTTAATATTTGGCATATAATTTTTGCTAGTATATCATTTAACTTTGGGGATGTTATGAAAGGAACAATAAAAGAACAAAATAAATATTTCTTTTGGGTCCCATTTTATATATTGCCGAGCAAAAAATAGGCAGTTCCAATTTGATATTTTATGAAATAGAGATAAATAAATTCACTTATATTTATACTCTTCCAATGAAAGTGATTTATCAATATCATCATAAGCATTGTTAACGTGGGATTAATTAGTGGAATGGTTCTGTGAACCATATAAATATAAATTGCATAACTTACATATAACATATGAATACTATATCTATGTTAAATAATATAATTTTTAAAATTTTGAGAGACCAACTGATTTAAGAGTTTAATATTAAATATATTTTTAGGTGTCGAATATTAGTTTACAACAAACTTTTAATGCACATTAAATGAATAATTTTAATTATATATTTTTTGCTAACCGATAATCAGATTTTTTTTTTTTGGCAAACATTTTTTTACACTATTTAATTCAACATTAAATTTTTATCCATTTTATTACAAAAAATAAGTAAACTCGTCTAATTATTATTGGATAGAATTAATTTAAATAAAAGAAAGCGCACACTGAACCAATGCCCACAGAAATATCTATATCGAACACGCCGAGGGAGATTTGTGGTGGTTTATTCAGCTTATGAGGCTTCCACCCACTGATCAATGTCCTGGTTGGAGGTGTGGGCTGATAAAAGACTCACAAGTAGGGTTGTTATCAAATCGAATCGAATCGAGCTCAAGGTGTTCGAACTCGAGTTCGACTAATTTTCGAACATGTTCGTGTTCGTTCATTTAGTAAATGAACAAAAAAATTCGTTCGTTTATTGGTTCGACATGTTCGTGTTCGTTCGTTTATCTAGTCGAACTTGTTCGTGAACCGTTCGAATTGTTCGACATGTTCGTGTCCGTGTTTATTAACTTTTTTTTTTTTTATTTTAATGTCATACAAGTTATTTATTTTTATATTTAATATATATTCATATTTATATATTATATTATATATGTATATATGATATATGATATATAAAATTATAAAATATTTTTATTTTATTTAGTATTTAATATATATTCATATTCATATATTATACTATTACAACGCCCGTGTATTACACGGGTGCTTGCTAATTTTTTCTTAAATTTAAAATTAATGAGAAAAAGTAGTTGAAATTTTAAATATCTTTTATAAAAATATATATTATATTATATATTCAATATGATTCTTTTTATTTGTGCAACTTACATGAGTTATATTATAATAATTTTTCAAACTTACAACATATAACTACATTAAACATAAATATATCAATTGAGAAATAATTTTATTTTTCTAATGAATTTTACTAAATATTATTATTTTTTATTATTATAAAAATAAATATAATTTATTTATTTCATATATTCAATATGGATGTCAAAGCAAAGATCATCAAAAGATGATTAATTTGATATATTATATATGTAAACCGATAAGAAATACAAAAGTTGAAATACAAAAGTTATCAACTTTAAAATACATTTATAATTCTATAGCTAATTAAAAGAAACAAATCAAAAGTCAGGGATATATTAGTCACTTAGTGCCTCAGTATGTAAAATTACAAAGAAATAAAGGGTTATATTAGTACAAGTGATATTAAAATACCTAATAAGTTAGCTAAATAATATTTATGGAATGTCCAAACCTAAATTATTAATTATTAATATATCAAATTATTTGTCCAAATCTAATTACGAAGCATGATTTTTTGCCAAGTAGGATTTCGAAGCACTAGAAGCAGCCACGTAGGCTCACCGCATTCGAGAATAATATATAGGGAGAATTATACATGTATATACTATATATAATATATAATTTTTTTTTGTTCGCGAACGCTCGACTAGTTCGCGAACGTGTTTGTATTGGTTCGATAACTAAACAAACATAATTTCATGTTCGAGTTCGGTTCGATTGCTAAACAAACGAGCTGTTATCGAACACGAACGAACACAAACGAGCTTTGTTCGCGAACAGCTCGGTTCGATAACAGCCTTACTCATAAGTGAGGGGGCGTATTGGAATATAACTTGTGAGTTGTCACACATTGATTTGATAGGTAAATGAGCCTAATTTATAAGCATAGTGAAATATTCTTCCCATCACCATTAGGTTTTAAGATAGAACCCCACTAAGGCCCATCTAGGTGTTGGAATATCACTTGTGAGTTGTTTCCCATTGATTTGATAGGGTAAATAAGCCTAGTGGACTACGCCTCCCATCACCAATTAGTTTTAGGATGTAACTCCACTAAGGCCCATCTAGGCCCACCCTGATTTGGTGCGCTTCACGTCCGTGAGACCGCACCCATCAACCCCCGTTTCTTCATGGTATCAGAGCCAGTTCACCCAACTCAGTTGGACTTGGGCCTATGTGAGACCGTGCAAGGACGTTTATATCTGTCACCCAACCTAGTTGGGCTTGGGCCTCAAATAAAGGGCTCACAACTGAGGGGGCGTGTTAGAATATACACTTGCGAGTTGTCTCACATCGTCTATACAAGGAAAATAAGTCTGCCCTAGTGGAGCTTTGGGATGAAACCTCAGACTTCGGTGCACTTCATCTGTATGGACCGCAC